TGTTTTCTCCTGACATGCTAGATAGAAGAAGAAATACTTAGATGCTTAGAACTTCACGTCTATCGTGATGGTAGGAGTACGGAGTCAGATAGAACTGAGGTCACAACCCAATTTTTTTTGTCACTGGGCGACTGATTTGCCGTCTCTGAGACTGAGTTTCCCTTCTGTGATAAGGAGGTGATAGACATGTCTACCTCACAGGATGGTGAGGTGAGAGTTCAGCAAGGCAGGCATGTACAGCACCAGCTACATGCTAAGTGCTTGATAAAGGGGAAATGGCATGACAGCCCAGGGAACAGGCAGCCCAGAGATCAAGGAACTGCCCTGAGGCCACACAGCAGATCGGGTGCTGCTTGCAGGTTTTGGGGGTTGTGGGGAGGGAGTCTTGGGGGCCTCCTGAGAACCCCTCTGATTTGCCCCCGTTCCTTCTAGGCGCCCCCAAAGCCCCTGCAGAGCTGGAGCCTGAACCAGAGCTGGAGGGGCTGCTGGCACCAGTGCTGGAGGCTGGCGACGCAGATGAAGGCACTGTCACTCGGCCCCTCAGCCCCACGCGGCTGCAGCCAGCGCTGCCACCAGAGGCACAGTCGGTGCCCGAGCTGGAGGAGGTGGCACGGGTGCTGGCGGAGATTCCTCGTCCCCTCAAACGAAGGGGTTCCATGGAACAGAGCCCTGCCGTAGCCCTGCCCCCCACCCACAAGAAGCAGTACCAGCAGATCATCAGCCGCCTCTTCCATCGTCATGGTGGGCCCGGGGCGCCTGAGCCCGAGCTGTCCTCCATCTCTGAGGGACCTGAGGCCAGGGCGGGACCCCCGGCTCCTGCCCCACCAGCTCCCATACCACCCCCGGCCCCGCCCCAGAGCAGCCCACCAGAGCAGCTGCAGAGCATGGTGAGTAATACAGGAGGAAAATGAGGTATATTAGCACCTGCGAGGTGCCCCTTCCCCTTTAGAACAGACCTTGGGAATTGCGCCCATCACGTCTGCCGCATCCCATTGGCTAGGAACCCAGCTACAAGGGAGGCTGGGAAATGTAGTTTTTAATCTAGTGTGCCCGTGTTCAAAAGAAAGGAAGAACACATGGAGCAACAACCAAATGTCCTGGCCACCCAGACTCCCTGTTCCTCTCCAATACACCCCGCCCACGCCAGGGCATCCTCCAGGAATCCTGGAGTTTTGTTTGTGGTGGGGTTTTTTTAATTGATTTTAGAGAGAAACATTGATTTGTTGTTCCACCTATTAATGCATTCCTTGGTTGATTCTTTTTTTTTTAAAGAGGCCTGTCAAGTTTGTTTGTTTATTATTGTTAAGATATTTTTATTGATTTCAGAGAGGAAGGGAAAGGGAGAGAGAAATAGAAACATCAATGATGAGAGAGAATCATTGATTGGCTGCTTCCTGCACACCCCCTACTGGGGATCGAGCCCCCAACCCAGGCATATGCCCTTGACTGGAATCGAACCTGGGAACTTTCACGGGCTGACGCTCTATCCTCTGAGCCGAACCGGCTAGGGCCTTGGTTGATTCTGATATGTTCCCTGACCATCAATTGAACCTGAAACCATGGCATATTGGGATGGCACTCTACCTGGCCAGGGCTAGGAATTGTGGAGTCTTCTAACCTGGGAATGACCGTGTCTTGGCAGACAGAGGTTTTATTCTGGGCCTTGAAAAGCCTGTCTGAAGCAAGGCACTTTATCACACGGGCTGTGTGTCTGCCTTCGCTCCTCTTATACCTCAGCAAGCCCATGACTAGAAATGGCCCAGCCAGCCCTGACTCAAAATGGCTTCTTAGTTCAAGCCCATGGAGTCCTCTCAACTCTACTGGGAGCTTCTTCCATTCAGATTTCCAAGAGCAAGTCCCTGGTTTCTGAGGCTGTGGCTGTTGTGGTTAAGTGTCAAATACCGGCTCCACAGCACTAACCCGCTGTGCAACCTTAGGCAAGACACGTAGCCTCTCTGGGCTTCAGTCTTCTCTTCTGTAAAATGGGGATGAGAATAATCAGGGTTGCTATGAGGATAAAATATATTAACATATTGCTTAGAAGAGTGCCTGGCACTTGCCTGTTAACTTCTATTACTGCTATTATTTGGCCAGGGGATGGCCTCCTGCTGATCTTGTCTAGTCTTTGCATCTTGGCTGGGATTGGGGGGTGTGGTCACGTAAAACAGTCCTGATCGCTCAGTGTGGGGAGATGGAGGGGCACAATTCCCCAAGAAGTGGGGGCACCTCAAAATGCCTTCTCCCAGGCCCTCCTGAGTGTGGAGCCAAGAACTGTTCAGGCTTAGGATCTTAACATCATGAATGTATGATGGCCCAGTTGCCTCATTGTAGAATCACAAAATCCTGGCCACAGAGAAACTTGAAGACTCACAGAATTCAGTAATTCAGTCCTGGAATCACAGTCACAATTCCAGACTCTTAGAGCATTGAAGGTTTGAAGAATGGGATTTCAGAATTAACAAGTAACACAGACCCTGTTCGTTACTGATTTTCCCTTGTTATTAAATGTATTGGAGTGACGCAGGTTAACAGAATTATACAGGTTTCAGGTGCATAGTTGCTGATTCTTTTTTTAAAAATTGATTTTAGAGGGAGAAAGGGAGGGAGGAAAAAGAGGGAGAGAGAGAGAGAGAGATAAAAAAAATTAACGTGAGAGAGAAACACTGGTAAGTTGCCTCCCATAAGTGCCCCCCATGGGGGACCAAACCCACAACCTGGATGTGTGCCCTGACCAGGAATCAAACCTGAGGTGTATTGGATGGCTGCTCCAACCAACTGAGCCATGTGGGCCAGGGCTAATTTCTGATTCTTAAAGTCCCTAAACCTGAAAATTAAAAGACTTGTCATTTTGAATCATAAAGTCACAGATTAGTGCACTAATATGTTGTTATACAGGTTTATATTTTAAATGAATATTTCTACCAGAAAGGAATACCCAAACACCACTGAAACTTAAGGAAATCGATAAGACTAAAGAGGCCAAAATCCGTGTCAGGCCCGCGTGGCTCAGTAGTTGAGCATCAACTGATGAACCAGGGGGTCACGGGTGGATTCTGGGCAGGGCACATGCCTAGGTTCCTGGCTCCATCCTCAATGGGGGGCGTGCAGGAGGCAGCTGATGGATGATTCTCATCATTGATGTTTCTATCTCTCTCCCTCTCCCTTCCTCTCTGAAATCAATAAAAATATATTTTTTTTAAAAAGAGGCCCAAGTCGCAGCACTCAGAGAGAACCCTGACTTAGGTTTTGAGCATTTCCTTCCCAATCTTTGGAGGTCACTGAAGCCCCCCACTCTGTCGCCCAGGAGATGCGCTCGGTGCTGCGGAAGGCGGGCTCTCCGCGCAAGGCCCGCCGCGCGCGTCTCAACCCGCTGGTGCTGCTGCTGGACGCGGCGCTGACCGGGGAGCTGGA